TGATTCCTCACATGTTTCTTTTAAAGATGCCAGATGTCTACCTTAATTACACAAATACAAATCCAGACTAACTCCATTGACGTCAGTGCTGTTAGCTGGGTTTTATTAGTGCCAGATAGGCACAAAAAAGAGTAAGTATAAAGTAAAAATTCAGGGAGGATATCATGACACCCACATAAGCATCTCATTGAGGATTTCCTGGTGCTAACGTTTTCTTAATTTGCAATGTATTGTCGAAATGCCTGGGACTCCAGGCACAAACCAGAACTGTCCTCCGTGTCACTTCTTCTGCTTTTGTGAAARAAAATCCAGTCTGTAAAGTGCATCTACCAATGAGATAAGATCAGAAATGGGGAAAAACAGCATTCTCTCGATCCAGCCTCCCTCAGAAAATCTGCCTGAAAGCAGCAGTACGCTCTGTGGCCTCTCCTCCCACCATGTAGATGTTTAGCTGAGCACCTGTGTTCAAGGCCAGCTCTGATATGGTGCAGCYGAGTGACCTTGGTCTGGCTGTGGCGAAAGGAGCTGTGAGAAAGGGCCTCACCTGGAGCTTCCCTGCTGCCTTTGGCAGGGACCCTTGTGTGCCTGCGTGCTAGGTGCCTGGCTGGGCACCTCGGGGATCCTGCCTTGCCTTGCTGAGCTGCCTTYCCTTGGGCCTCCTCGTGACACTCGTGTGGCCATCGCGGGGCTGGTGAGTGAAGCTGGCCCTGCTCTCCGGCTCGGTTCCTGCTGTGTCCCCTGGTGGTGAGGGACGCCCCCTCTTGTCACCCACAGCACTGCCCACACTCCTGACAGCCCTATCCAGAGATCCATCCCAAAGCTAACAGCACCCACAGAAACCCCGGACAGAGCTTTCTACTGATAATTATAATTTTGCTAAATGATTATACGGTCTTAGCTATTTAGTTACTGAATAAACATTCAAAGCACTGGCAAGCAGAGGAACTGACACTCAGCAAAAGATGGTTTAGCATTTCCTGGCTTTCCCTCCCACTCATGCTTGTGGAAGGAACGGTTCCCTGCTCCACTGACAGGGAGAGGGGCAGGTGAAGTGCTTACCAGCTGCCTGCCCGAGGGACCAGGGAGCCTTTGGTTCTAGGGTTTCTTACCCAGAAACTCAAAGATCTTTTCTTTTTCCTCTGAAAAAATACTAAGGAGTTGTGCAGTCCTACTGAATTACAGGCAACATCCCCTGGGTGCTCTCTCACCATATCCAGGCTCTTGGGTATCAATCAGAAYAGCTATAGTGGAGTGAAGTTGGAGCTATGCTGATTTACAGCATCAGATTGCTTGTTTCCATTTCATATTTCTAGCTATTAAAAGGGAATTAGGTCTGCAGTATAACCAGACTGGCCTGTTTCAAGGGCAGCAGAGCAATTCCTCAACAATTCCAGATCAGGAGAGAGCTTCCACCTCCATGGCTGCAGGATGATTATCTTCAAAACAGGAAATATAGACAGCACAACAAGCCTGTTAAGCACGTAAGTGATCCCAACAGTCCAACAGCTCTATAAAACTTAAGTAGAAAGTTAAGCATGCAAACAGGATTTTGCAGATAAGGATTTAAAGAGGCTCTCAAGCTGCTCTCTACTGTCTTTACTTCTGGGTTTTCAGTTCCACATCTTCATGGTTCAGTGGTGTTATTGAATGCCAAAGAGTCAATTCTCAGCAACAACCCTCCAAGGCTCTTTCTGAGTAATTAGTCTGAGAAGAAGAAAGTTGCCACTGTTTGGCAGACTAATTGGCGGGTCAGCTACTCTTGTTCCATCTGTCCTCACCACTTCCATTCCCTGGCTTCACTGGGAGTGCAGAATTGCTGTCATCTTTGTTACCATTGTGTAGCAGCCACCAAATCAAAGTACAGCTTTGTTACAGATGACTACATTAACTACCTTTCACTAGCATCTCTTCTTCTCAAACATCAGGACTAGGAACTTGCATAGTCTGGGGGAGCATTCCAGTTGTGCACTATCCCCTAAGACATCAATCAGCTATGGTACCTCTAGACAGTGACACATCTGCTGAGTTGTTGCACGTTGCAGGAGGTTAGGATCTTTTAGTGAGCTTCTCAACTCAAAGAAAATCTTAAAGGGAAGGAATAACAGTATTGTGCATAGCAATAAGGCCATGACACAGGAATGCCCAGCAGCTTTRGGTTTTGCTTTGCCATATGCAGAACAAAGGCAACGACACTTGGCAGCATCCTGATGTCTGTGTGCAGATAACACCGACCTTCTTGAACGAAAGGAACTGGGGTGTGGGGGGAGAGCAGCGCAAGACAGAGACTAACTGTACACTGCAAGTGACCTTGTGCAAGGGACTCTGCCTAACAAACTGCTTCACGTTGCAGCTGTATTGACTGGGACAGCCACTGCAAGGGCAAATTACAGAATCACACAGYGATTCAGGTTGGAAAGTGCTTCTGGAAAATGCCTTGTCCAACTCCCTTGCTTAGGCTATGGCATGTTGCACAGGGCTCCATCGAGACAGCTTTTGAGTATCTTCAAGCACAGAGGCTCCAGAGAGCAACTTGTTCCAGTGCTCAGTCACCCTCACAGTAAAGCTTTTCCTCATGTTGAGACAGAATTCCCTGCGCTTCAGTTTGTGCCTATTGTCTACAACTAGACTTTGTGTCACTGATCACAACCCTCCGAGCTCTGCCACCCAGCCAGTACTGGCTGAATTAAGAAGTGTTACTGTGCATATTATTGTGCCTACCACAATGAGGTTGAGTTATTCTCCCCTTCTGCTCAGCCGTTGCCTCGTTATAAACCTGGGCCGCAGACTCCTGGGGGCAAAGAGCATCCTTCTATACAACTCACATCTACCTCTCCAGCTGAATAAAGCCCTGACCTTTCATGATTTTTTTTAGGTTCTCAGGTAAGAGTAGTAACAGGCAATTCTACTTCTCTTGTGTTTAACAACAATCAGGACTTCAAATCCTCGTTCAAGACACTCAACTCCTTTCATCTCTCGGTGCTGCTGTGATGCTACCAAGCAAATCTGCTAGTAGAGAAGCTCCCTGTTGTGCTGGCTGAAGAGAAGACACTGATGAAGGTTGTCAAGCTGCATAAAAGCTCCAGATTGCAGCCTCATGGAGGGAGATCAACATTTATAAAGCCAAGGCTAATGGACCTACTGCTAGACCTGTCCACCTGCCAGATGACTGCATTCATRCTGCGTTTCTACACAGAAACTGTTATCTCTGAAGGGAGGGAAATCAACACACTTATTATTTCCTTTCCCTGTGCCAGGACTTTCTTTGAAACTTCAGGCAGATTGCATCTAAATATCAAGTTGCCTTTTGAAGAGAGGCTTGTTACTTTTATCAGATAGCAACAGCAGCAGCAAATTCAAAGACTCCAGGAAACTTTTGAAAGACAGACTTCTTCCTTCCCTAAAGAAACGGTAACAAAATGAACATTAATTTTTACAATTAGCTGGTTGAATCCCCAAATTACTGTCTGAGACCAAGTAGTGATATATGTGAAAATGGGGAGAGAAGCCTAATATAGTGCTAGGAACTCCACGTTCTTTTACTGGTGGCCTCAGTGTTCCCAGAAACCTCCTTCTTTCCATCAGTGTTAGGGTACAGCATTATACTGCACTTGGCCTGACCTGTGTGTGAGCACCAAGGACACTTGGCCTGCTGCGTGCTCCCACATTTGCACCACAGCCACCCCCTTGCATATCTCTGAAGACTCACAGCTTCACTGACCTGATGAAATAATGTGCTGAGGGGGTTTATTACCTTCTGGAGCAAGCAGGCCTGTCTTGCACACTGCACAGAAAAGGACAAATGCCCACAGCTGAAGAGAACAGAAGTTGTCTCTTTAGAGGCAGCTGCCAGTCAAGTCAATCTACATAAAAAACAAAACAACCACCACTACCAGCAAAACCCCACATATCTGGGGCCCACACCTGGATCCTGACACTACTGGACAARGGAGCTGACATCTGACCCAGGAGGAAGAAGCTCTCTTCGCACCAGGCATAAAAGGGACRGATTTGTAAAATACAAAACAAAGGAAAGCAGGTTTACTTTCTGGGGGGAGGGAAGAAGAAGCTGGGACTTTGTTGAAATCAAAAAGGCAAACAACAACAGCAGCAAACACTCAAGTTAGGAGAATAAACCATCATCACCTCCAAAAATACCACGTTCTCTAACTTCACCCCATCTTCCTTAATGGTACTAGCCAGAGCTAACACCAGTTCCCCAGAGCTAAAACAAGTCCTTATCCCAGGACTGCCTAGACACAACAGGCTTAAAAAGGTCCTATTTAAGCTGGAGGGTAAAACCTTAGGTTAAAATCACCACTGTCATAATCAAGAAAATTCTCATTCCTCTGGTCATACTTTCTGCTTGAAGTGACCGAGTTAGAAAAAACAGCTCCTAGAGCCTTGATTTCTCAGGACTTGTCATATTTTAAACAGAGACTTTTTTTTAAAAAAAAAAAAAAAAAAAAACCACCATTACCACACTGCTGCAGTGCTGCTAGGGGACAAAAAGCTGTTGGGGAAACAACTGGCGGTATTTTGAGCTGTGCCTTGTACCATTTAGGGAACCTTTCACCAGGGTTTCGTAGTCAAAACCCTTTACTCGCCAAGTTACTTCCATCCACTTATCCTTACCAGGTATTTTGCTTAAACTAGAAGATTACTTATGTTCTRTAGGTCCACACTTGTCTTAGGGGCACAGTAGCACAGCTTTAGTTCTTTAGGCTGCATGACAACTTTGTTAAAGAAAAAGCTTACCCACTACCTTTGTCCTTGCTGAGGCTGCATTTGTTTCCTCAGTTCAGAGGCTGCATTGAGTCAGGTTAATGAACTTGACCCTCAGAAGTTAGTTTAGGTGTCTTCTTTAAATTAGAGACTTTTAAAAAATATATAGCTTAASAGATCAAGTACATGCCTCTGTCTCAAACTGAAAATTTTCCATCTAAGACCTTTTATTACTTTGAAAAATAAATTACAAGTTAGGCATAAGTGAAGATTGACCAAAACCAAATCCTTTATTTCCACAACTGTATAAATGTGCTCCAAGTATGTGTCCAACACAAGTTAGAAAAACAAAACATAACATGCCATTTGCAAACTAGATCAGTTCACTGATGTGCTGACTTCTTGGTATTAGGCTTAGTTACACAAGACCAGTCACAGTAAAAAGATACATATTTGAGTACAAAGTAGCAGGATGTTAAGCCATTTCAGCTTGTGCACATACAAGTCACACTTCTGGCAGAAAAATGCAGAGAAGTTTGCATCATACTGGAAGCTACGTTGCATCATGTTAAATGGCATCAATATCGATATCATCATCTTTATTGTTTGCAGGCTTCACAGTTTCAACTTTAGGTACACTGGCGGTTGTGGAGTACACCACCTGTGGAGACAAAACAGTCACCTTTATTACAGCATCTACTGCTATCAAGTACTGGCATAATTTTGCTCAAACTGTAGGAGCTGCTGCAAACTTGCCTGCCTAACCACCCTTCCTTCCCTGTTATTCTGCACTAGGCTGAACAATGCATTCCAGAACTACCCCATAACTAAACCCTGAACTGAGGCATGCTGAAATAGCAACTGYATTGCTGTAGCAACTGTATTTCATAGCACTGAAAAGACAGAAGAGATTGAGTGTCCATGATGTCAGAAACATCAGAAACCTCACARCCTGGTGGGTATTAGCTATTCCTGACTCCTAACCTAAGAAAAGCCCCTAGCCCATACCACACATATAACCAGAAAGTTGGAGTGAAGCAAACAGATTTTACCTAGTCCTAAAGTAGGAGAAATTGGTGACTTGTTCTTTAAGCTGCTTTGCTAGTTAGGCACAAAGGCCTATCTAAAAACCACAAGGCTTTCTGATACGAAGGAAGAGGTATAGAAGGCACTAAGTTCCACTGCAGTGTCAGAGCCTGCTTGCACAATCAGGACAAAGGACAGCAGTCCTTTGGCTACCAAGGTCCTTCACAAGGATCTTGGGTAGATAAGTTTCATGTAAGGGCAGTCAATCTAACAACTAACAACCGTTGTATCAGAGTATGGAATCACAAAAAAAATTTCTCCAGCTTCCCATGCACAAAGCAATACAATAATTACACTGCTCAATAATCAAGTAGCTCAAGGTCTCAGTAAGGAGAAACAAAAGCTGGAATTGTTTATGGAGTCTTGCCTACCTCAATATTTTCATCTTCGTCTTCTTCTTCATTACCGGAAGATTCTTCCTCAGCTTCCTTGAGCCATTTAATAAATGGTTCTGCTTTGACACGAATTTCTTTGGCAAGCTCTTTTGAGACATATTTCTTTGAGGCCTAGAAACAGGGTAACAAAGACRTAGTAAATTCTTGTAGCATTTAAATATTAGATCAATATCAGCACAAGGCTTTTTCCCAGGATGGAGAGACCAGATGCACTGTTACATTCAGCCATGTGGCAGGTGGAGCCCATGAAATACTACTCTTACCTTCTCTGCCCAGCTAAGGATGACTTCTTCTTCCAGAAGATCAGCATCATACATCTCCTTCAAAATATGTGGTATTTTGGAAATAAGCTGAGACTGATGCATGGCTACCACGCACTCAAAGCCATGGAGAAGGTACCTCTGAGCTTTCTTATTGTTGTGGCAGAACTAGAATAGCAAAATTTACAGTAACTCTCATTACCACTCTCAGCAGTTTTTAGTTAAAAAGCAAGCAGCAGTTTAGAGCTGCCAAGTTTAGAACTCCCATGAGTCATTATTACAGAACCACTTGCTCTACTAGGAGCAGATGACACTTACACGAAGGAAGTGACGCCTGTATTTCCGTATCTGTTCACGAATCTTTTCGTCAAAGAGGACCTCAGTCAGCACTAGAGGGCCCATAGCCTTTACATCCAGTCTCTCTGCTTCTGCTACAATGTCTTTGTCAGAAGAATCAATGACACCTTCTTCCTTCTTTTTCTGCAAGACAGATGCAAGTTACATTTTAACTGCTACCGAGCTCTGATCAGTGCTGTATTGCAGCTTCCTTCCCCATCACYTGGAGAACTTCTGTTTAGGTAGAATCTTTTAAGCTTTAAAGGATGAAGAGCCTGGGGGGTGCAAGAGGAGAGGGGAGAAARGAGCAATCCTCCCTCTGCATCCAAACAAAAACCCACCCTATGTTTCTATTGTTCTTACTCTCAATAGCACTTGAAAGAGAGTGGGCACACCAAGGACGGAGCTGCTAAATATTTACCTTCACGAAGTCAAATAATATATTGACTCTCTCTTCCACTGTTCTTTCCAGATCTTCACTAAGTGTGAGGTTCTTTGCATGGTCACTAATCTCATCCATTCTGCGCCTCTGGGCTTCTTCTGTTGTATCTTCACCCCAGTCATCATCATCCTCCTCCTCCTAAAATGGGATTTTGCACAGTATTACTACAGGCTTTTTTAACAGCTGAGCATAAAAGACACAAAAACACTTTTTTAAACCATATAAAGTTTTTCTTAAGAGAAATCTTTTATTATAATCTGAAAATCATGGGAGATAGGAAGTAATGATACAGTTAGGAGCTAATTATGAGCTTAGCGCCATTTGCAGCATCATATTCACAAAATACAACCCCCTGCCTTCCCTGTCTACTTACCACAACCTGTGGAGGAGTTATCTCCTCGGGTGGTGGGGGTGGAGGTGTCTCATTGCTAGACACAGAACCATTCTCTTTGTCCTTGCCTTTTCTGTTCTTCTTTTCCTTTTCCTTCTTTCCTGTACCAGTGTCACCGCTCTCTGGAAGTAAAATATTTTATCATTCTCTACATCATCAAATAAACTACTTGCACATATTACAGCTCTAACAAATCCCTGAATAAGCCAGCTGCAATATTTGTATTAGCAGTTACTAATGCTCAGCACCCTTTCCCAGATTTATTCAGGGCAGATGTATACCTGCCAGGAGAGCATACTATAGGTCATTCTAGGCCTGGTTTCTCACTGAGACCTAAGGCTGTTCAAGTCCATATAACACGGGCCCTCACAAAGCAGAGGCCCCTGGAATAGGTTAGACTTTTCTACTTTAGCAAGCTTAAATTGCAGCAGGCAACGAGATGCTTACTACAGAGTGTTGCTTGCACAGAACACTTCCAGAGGTAGAGGGATACTGAGATGCTTTTACATCCTACCCTTCTGCTTCATTCCAAGGGCACATGGTGAAAATCTGCAATGTCCACTTGCAGACCAACTGTCTTCCTACCGAGTTATGCCCTACATATACATCTTCAGATGCTCCTATGTGAAAGGATGCAACAGTAGCAATCATAGCTCTGTGCAATCCTGTCAACTGTGAACAAGTACCTAGTACTTTATCCTGCACTACAAACTCCAGGAGCATCCCTTTTTTAAAAAAACAGTTTAATTTAGTTAGCATTACTTCAGCATTGWTTTCTGGTAATGAAACCTTTTGCCTGACCATGCCCAAAATAAAACTTCACACTCACCAGGTGGGTTTTTGAGAATGAACGTGCAGAGTTTATGGTTTGTGTCAAGCATGCCTCGATAGCCACAGGCTTTGCAAGAGTTACCTATAGTTTGTTTCTTAGGATTGACATGCTGCAAAAAGGAATACACTCTGGTTAAAATACTGCGGTTAAAATACTGCTTACAGAACAGGAATGCATTAAAGCCTAAAAGCAATGTTTACGTAAAGTCTCAGCAGAATCAAGTTAGAGGTTTAAAGGCTTTCATCAGCTCCAAAAACAGAGCCTCTAGTTCGTAGGTGGCAAAGCTGTATACTTCTATACGCTTAAAGCCTTCCCAGACAGTTCCTGCAAGAGGAAGATTACCTTCTCCGAGTTCACGTTCAGCTCAGGTATCTTAACACTGGCACTTTAGGTTTATGAAAGTGGTGTGGCATTTCTGTAGTGTTATGGTAAATGACAGACGGGAAGTACTCACCAGATCAGTTTCAGGATTCTCACACTCAGGACAGAGAACAAATTTTTTAATGAATCCATCCAACATGTCTTGCAGCTTATTCGCCTCATGAGATCCATTGACAATGTAACGGTCATTCTTAACATCAAACTGGGTCTGTGCTCCCAGCTCACAACCAAAAAATTTGGTAGGATCTTCAAGAGAGAAAAGAGAAGTACATTAATAGCCACCAACTCTCACAGTCCTTTAATATAAAGCTAACAGTAAGAAAATATAAAGCAGGAGTACTGTGTTCTCAGCAGCTACACAATGGATCCCCAAAACAAGAATACACCCCCCCTACACACATTCTTATCCCCATCCTCGTGCATTTACAATTCTGCCCTGGGATAAAGGCTTCTAAGACAGAAATGTGACTTAAAGGGCTAGTATAAGCAAATGATTTATTGCCTAGTTCACACTACCACTCCAAGTAATATAAAGAGCAAAAGTCAAAGGACGCCCTATTGCTCTACAGACTACTTACACGTTGGAGGCCGATTAAGCGCCTTTGCAACGTCAACCATGTTGACTATAACCGTCTTTATTCCATTTCCTTTGCCCTCAACCTTAAAAAACAAGAAAAAAAAGTGCTTTATGGTTAAATGACCACAATAGCCAAACCCAATGAATATTTCCCATTCCACTTACATCACTTTCTAATTTTAAAAGCAGTTATCTTTTAAAGTATTTTTAAATGAGCTAATGCACACCCAGCGTAGACTGAAAAGACTGAAGTTCTTATTTGTCCTACACTGGCTGACTAGGCACTGGTATCATTACCTCACACCAATTCCTCCATCTAGAAAGTGAAACCCTATCCATTTACCAATAATAGCAAGTTACCTTGGCAATCAGACGGGGCATTTTGTAGCGATAGAACTGATCTGAAACACTGCGGTTGACGTTGACAGACATTTTGCCTTATTAGTTGCTTTATCAATAAGATGAAGAGATCTTTGATTGCAGTTTTTTGGTATCTTCTGTCTGGAGAAGACGGGATGACATAAACGACTGCAAGAGTTCTCGGTCTCTGACATGAAAAAATTTTCGCCACTGAGGCTGTAAGGTTCTTGCTTGTATGCTATGTTTCCCCAATACAGGTACCAGTGGCTGCGCAACAGCTCTGCAAGTGTTAACAGAAAAGAAATGAAGTTTACCTTGACAGGCACCCACACACAAAGTCGTCACAGAACTATATAAATAACTTTCTCTAATTATAGTCCCTCATCTTGTGGCTATGACTTCCCTCTTGTGGAACATAAGTAGCTTTGAGTTGTACTGCTGATACCCTTCCCTCATCTAAACCACATAATCTTCCACCCTCTCTTTCTTACAACCCAAAGAGCACTCAAACAGCTTAAAAACGTTTTCTGTATGTCTACTGCCTGAATGACTGCTGCAATCACAAAGGAAAAAAAGATGTTTATTATGAGAACTGATGTTGCTTGCACATGTGATATATTTCAGGCTGCAGGGTAGAGGGAAGCAGGAAAAAAAATCTGGAAAACAGCTTCATATCCTGCACCATAGCATGAGCTTATCACAAACTGAAGCCTGTCAGAATGTTGAGAGAAATATCAGTAAGATGAAGCAGCAGCAATCTGTAGTCCAACAGATTTTTTTCACATGGCTTACCATTTTYTGATCGGAGTGGAAAAGAGTTGATAATTAGGTATTTCTCCCTCTCAATTATGGATTCTCAAAGCAGCTTCTGTTGAGTTTTGACTTAACAGTAAGCCTGATTATTTCTGACATAAGTTGCTTCACTGTAGAAAGCCTAGCAATGCAGAGGTACAGAGCAGTGCAGCAGCTTTTCCAGTTGTTTATTTTTTCTTTTGGTTGGGGGGGGGGGGGGGGGAGGGAGAGGAGGGAGTGAGGAAGGAGAAGGAGGATGAATCCTATTATTAAAGTTACCTTACACAGCATTTATGTATTAAAATTAACATGTGTCTCTATAATCAGATGCAGGATTACTTAAACCACAACTGTTTGAGTTGACCCTGATTACAGCACAGTCATTCTGACACATCATCATGTTGCTACCATTAACGACAGAAGTGCTGACACACTTAAGCAACTATTCTTAGCATTTATGCAAAATAGTATGTCTATGGGTTCCACACAGCCTGTGTCTTTCCAATCAGGTTTACAAATTGCTTACACAATTCTGTACATGTCCTTTTTGTATATATGTGTATTCTAGATTAGCCTAGATGCAGTTTTACCCTTCGGGAAAAAAAAATGCACCATGGATCTTGTTTCAAGCCCAAGGCTTCCTTCCCCAGTTATATCTAAAAAGAGTCATCATGTGATGTGACCACGTGCCTGTGAAGCACTGAGCACGGTGGCYGAGCTTGAGTTCTTAGAAGGAATGTGCCGTTTCCCCTCCTTCCAGATTACCGCTTTTCTCTACTGCGGACTGAAGCTCCCTCTCCTGGTCCCTAGGACACCTCATCCCAACTACCCTCCCCGCCCCCTCCCCCCTATCCCCAAGCACAGCGAAAAAGCGGCAAGGCGGATAACGCTGTGTAGCCGCGAGTCTCTTTCCCCGCCCCGCTCGGGCCTGTGATGAGTCACAAATGCAGCAATTAAACACTGAGTCAGCCTTGGGAGAGAGATGGGCGGGAGGTCACCCCCAGGCACGCATGCGCTCTCCGGCGGCGACAGGGGGACGCTCCGCTCCCCCCCCCTCCCCCCCCGCGGGTTGGTAACTGCGCCACAGCTGCCCCCGCCCCGCGCCCCCTCCCCCTCCGCGCCCACGGCGCGGGAGGCGCGGCCCCGGCCGCCGCCATCTTGTCTCGTCGCATGGCAGCGCGGGGGGGCGGAGGGCAGAAAGCGCACGCAAAATAAAAGCAGAATTTGGAAAACAACGCAGAATRATATATGGAATGTTGTTGTTCTTACCTCCTTCCCACCGTTACTGAGCTCCCGGTTATTTCGTTATACGAAATCTCTCCTGCCATCGACCGTTTACCGGTAATGCGGCACCCCCAGCCTTCGACCCTCTTCTTCCTCCTTCCCACCCAAAACCCTCTTCTAAACCCTCGATTTCCCCCCTGCTCACTCCCCCACCCGCTCTGCYGTAGTGGGGATACTCACCGTTTTCGTCCAATAAAGACATAAACCCAACGCTGCTCGCCCCGGGCTGCGACGAAGCCGAGTGTGTGAGGAGAACAGGGCCGTGGGGGCGCTTATATCCAGACGGGGAGGGAGGCGGAGGCGGACGCCGCAGCCTCCGGGTCCGAGCGTCCTGGGGCGGGCAGGATCAGCAGGGACAGCGGCGCCGGGCAATCTGCGTGCAAAAGACAACCAGGGGCATCGTTAGCGGCGACACCTACGAGGAGGGAGGGGAGAAGGAAGGGGGGGGAGAGGGAAAGGGGGAGGGAGCGGCGGCGGCCGGGCGCGCAGCTCAGGCAGAAGGGGGCGGTTGATGGGACCCCGTCAATGGCCGCCCCGTACTCACCTCTAGAATGTTCTCGCTCTGACTGAACAACGCCAAAGCTGGGATCAATCAGCCAGCGGCGCGCCCCGCCCCCGCCGCCATGCCATTGGCTGGCCGCTCGCCTCGACACGAACCTATTGGCTCGTGGCTTGCCGTGCCCCCAACTCATTGGTGAGAGCCGCCATCAATCCAACCCCCGCTTTGCCTCGCTTCGCCCCCCCCCAGTGCCCCAGAGGACATCACGTCTACCCACTCTCGCGAGAGGGGGGGAGGGGAGCGGCGCGGGATGAGTCAGTGCGGCGGGGCCCGCTACCGAGCGCGGCGGCCGCGGCTCCCCCCGGGCCCCGCTCCCGCCG